CCTAATTAGCCTCAAACATCCCGGATAGCCTTAATTTTTGGGGGAACGGGGGGCGGCGGGGGAGGGGCTGGGTAGTATAGAGGGGGTAGTAGGGAAACCCATGAGGAGAGCTCTGTACCTGAGTGATTTTGGAACCAGCAAAGGGGATGGGCCTCACACTGCAGCTGGCCTGATCCAAAAAGTTTACCCTCCAAAATCTTGTGAATCATTATTATAGCAGGTGGCCACCACAAACTGAGTCCGCATTTTTTTGGGAAAACTTGTGATTGAAGTGGGTAGATACAGCTAAACCAAGTGCAACATTACGGTTGAGCATTGAAGCACCCCGACGATGTGAATCTGTGGGAGAGTGGGGGGGAAGCCCCAAACCCTAAACCCTAAACCCTACACCCTACACCCGAAACCCTAAAACCTTAAACCCTAAACCTAAGCCGCAAACCCTAAACCCTAAACCCTAAACCCTAAACCCCAAACTTGTAAGTCTCGGGGAGAATCTACTTTGTCAACTTGAGGTGAGGCTTCGATTCTGGTCATATCTCCGCTGTTTTTTCTTAAGAACCACCCTCCGCAAAATGAACGATAGCAATCGAAATGCTCCCCTTATAAGGAAGAACATGTTTTTTTTCTGTTTGAGGGGTTCTTAAGCAAAGAGTCGGTTTAGGGCTGAAGGGGGTTCTCCCTAAACTCTGAACTAGATGCTTAAGTTGAGGTCCATTTTTCGACGGCGCTGTCCAACAAGCGGATGACGGCAAACACCTGCTACACGCTAACGCAGGCTTTCTTCATGGTCACCACAGTGATGCGTAACCTTGCTGCCTGAAGCCTAAAACCCTTAAAGGGGTTTAGGAAATTAGGGGGTACCTTGTTGGGGTCCTTACCATAAGGGGATCCTACTATTTGGGGGTCTATACTAGGGGTCCCTAAACCCCTAAAAAGGTTGTGACCGGGCTTTCAATCTCAGCCCAGAGCGTATGTGTTGTACCGGGACGGACCTAACGATTGGGTTCCTGGAGCCCGAAAGGACACAAGACTTTGGCTTCTGGAAGTATAGGGTGTGTGCGTGTGTTTCTGTGTGTGATCTTCTTTCTCAACTTTGAATCCAAACCCAAATAGCCCCAAAATCCTAAACCTCAACCCCGGAAAGCCCTAAACCTCACAAACCCTCAAGACAAAAACCCTAAACCCAAAGCCCAAAGCCCAAAGCCCAAAACCCTAAACCCTAAACCCCAAACCCCAAACCCTAAACCCTAAACCCTAAACCCAAAACCCTAAACCCTAAACCCTAAACCCAGGCTTTGGTGCGACTTAGGGGCCTCCAGAACTGACTTCGCCCGTGGTACCAGGCACATGAAAGTGAAAGAGTCTTGGGCGTACCGGGAAGTATCAGACTCTACACCCTAAACCCTAAACCCTAAACGGCCTATACCCTCAAACCTAAACCCTGAACCCTGAGCCCTAAACCCTAAACCTTGAACCCTCAACCCTCAACCCGACAGTCCCGAGCCCTGAAGTCCGAGGCCTGTACTCACTGGGCTCTCCGGAGATTCGGGAGGACCTCGAGGATCATAGGATCGTCAAGTACCCGGAGTTTCGGGTCCCTAAACCCTAAACCCTAAATCCTAGACCCTAGACCCTAGACCCTAGACCCTAAACCCTAAACCCTAAACCCTAAACCCTAGACCCTAAACCCTAAACCCTAAACTCCCCCTCCAACAAAGCCCCTGCGCTCCTCCCGGAGGTTCGTCTACGTTCCGCTGTTTTAGGGTTTTCGGGCTTTCTGTTGTTGGGCGAACTTTGTTTACATCGCAAAGCCAGTATCAGGGGAAACCTCCCTATTCCTAACAGTCCTTAATAGGGATGATAGTACCCCCTATTCCCTACTGAGGACTGGATGGGCTATCATACCCTATAACCCCTTAAAATGGCCCTTTCTAGGATTGATTATGGGGATTATAGGGCCTAATAGCCCATCCTGGCATGTTCAGTGTTCTCTAAACCCTAAGCCCTAAGCCCTAAGCCCTAAGCCCTAAGCCCTAAGCCCTAAGCCCTAAGCCCTAAACCCTAAACCCTAAACCCTAAACCCTAAACCCAATGCATGTTCAGTGTTCTAAGACAGCCGGATGTGCGCGACGCGCAGGAGCTGTCAAGCCACTGGCGGCTCGCGCTCGTCATTCCGCTGCCCTCCCTGGCGGCCTTGCAGCATAGCTTGGGATGTTTAGGGTTTAGGGTTTAGGGTTTAGGGTTTAGGGTTCAGGGTTTAGGGTTTTGGGTTTTGGGTTTTGGGTTCTTATACTAGCAGTCCTTGATAGGGATTGTAGTAGGGGGTACGATAGTCCCTATGAAGGACTGTTAGCATAACGGGGGGGACATCCCAACGCATAGTGCTCATGTCAAGGTTGAAGGTCTATTAGGCCTGTGCAACTTCTCCGACCTCGATCCGTTTGTCTCTGTTTGCGAGTAAAACTCGGTAGGGCGTTGGGACATGTCGTATCTTCCCGTATTGGGTTTAAGAGGATCATATCCAGGAAAACTTGTCAGAGGGCTTTAATTTAAGGGCCATCCTAGTTATAGGTAAGGTAACTCTAGCTTTTGCTGGTTTGTAACCTTCCTTCGGAGTCCTACAACCCTACCTATGCCTCAAAGACAGCCCAAGCTCGCGGGCCCTTCTTTACTGCTGGTTATAGTAGAGAATGAGGGAATGAGGTACCCTATATCCCCCTATATATACCATTTAAGGAATTATGTAGGGTACCTCATTCCCTCATTCCCTACTCGCCAACGGTAAGCTTCTGGCTTCAGGTGGCCCTTGTGGCCGGGTGGGAAGTTCGGAAACGCTCCTCGGATCTGTTCAGAGATTGTAGAGGAGCACCCTAAACCTTAGGCCCTAAACCCTAAACCCTACACCCTAAACCCTAAACCTAAACCCGAAGCTCTAAACCCTAAGCCCTAAACCATACACCCAAAACCCCAAACCCTAAACCCTGAACCCTAAACCTTAAATTCTAAACCTTGGACCCTGTTCATGTGTCTGGATGCGGAGATGGCCGAGATAGATGGGATCTGAGGCTTGCGGGTGAGACGGGTAGGCTGAGGCTGTGAGATGAACCCTAAACCCTAAACCCTAAACGCCAAACCCTAAACCCTAAGCTCTAAACCCTAAACCCTAAACCCTAAACCCTAAACCCTAAACCCTAAACCCTAAACCCTAAACCCTAAACCCTAAACCCTAAACCCTAAACCCTAAACCCTAAACCCTAAACCCAGAACGGCACCCTTGTAGTAAGGACCCCCACACAAGCACCCTACTTGCGTGAGAAGCTCCCACCTCTGCATCTCAGACTGGGCTTCTCTGAACGTGAATTGTAGGGTACTCGAGAACCCTAAAAACCCAAAACCCAAGACCCTGAAACCCTAAATCCAAAGCCCTAGGTCCTGAAACCCTAAGCCCGAAACCCTGAAGTTTGAACCCTAAACCCTAAACCTCCTGAAATCCTAGCCCCAAGCCCTAAGCCCTAAGCCCTAAGCCCTAAGCCCTAAGCCCTAAACCCTAAACCCTAAACCCTAAACCCTAAACCCTAAACCCTAAACCCTAAACCCTAAACCCTAAACCCTAAACCCCCAAAGCTCTGGCTTCCCAGGCTTCAACACGACTCTGCTGCTGCGATGCGTCGTCGCGCTGCTTCTGCTCTCGTCCTTGACGCATGGCAAAAGGCTTTAGGGTTTAGGGTTTAGGGTTCAGCATCTCTGGTCCAAGCATTCACTAGTTGAGCAGCTTTCAAGGCCACAGGGGAATACCCACCCGCCCATTGGGTCCCACACCATTAGGAAAAATATCCAACCTCCTTCTTCTCTCGGCACGTGGTCAACAGAATGGATTTGTTAACCACATGTTTCTGTTTCAAGCGGACAAGAAAACCAACGTGGTCAACAGAATGGATTTGTTAACCACATGTTTCCATTCGGGAACTTAGTCTTTGAAAGCCATCTTGAGTTCTTGAGTCGTTTGAGGGGCTTCAGGGGCCTCAAAAATAGGCGCGGTCATTCGGAAACTTATTCTTTGGAAGCCATCTTGAATCGCTTGACTCTTTTCCAGGGGGGGGGGGGTGAGGGCGGGGTTGTGGGGGGGGTGGGGCGGGGTGGGGGGGTGGGGGGGCGGGGGGGGGGTGGGGGGGGGGGGGGGTGGGGGGGGGGGGGTGGGGGGTGGGGGGGGTGGGGGGGGGGTGGGGGGGGGGGGGGGGGGGGGACCTTGCCCACTAAATATAAGACCTTGCCCACTAAATATATGACCTTGCCCGCTAAATATATGACCTTGCCCGCTAAATATATGACCTTGCCCGCTAAATATAGGACCTTGCCCGCTAAATATAGGACCTTGCCCGCTAAATATGGGCCCTTGCCCGCCAAATATATGACCTTGCCCGCTAAATATATGGCCTTGCCCGCTAAATATATGACCTGGCCCGGGCAATATATTTAGCGGGCAAGGTCATATATTTGGCGGGCAAGGTCATATATTTAGCGGGCAAGGTCATATATTTAGCGGGCAAGGTCATATATTTAGTGGGCAAGGTCGCCCTTTAGCGGGCAAGGTCATATATTTAGTGGGCAAGGTCATTTTTTAGCCAATGGACCTTGCCCACTAAATATATGACCTTGCCCGCTAAATATATGACCTTGCCCGCTAAATATCTGACCTTGCCCGCTAAATATAGGACCTTGCCCGCTAAATATATGACCTTGCCCGCAAAGTCATTAACATTTATATTATATATGAAAGAGTGGTTTAGGGTTTAGGGTTTAGGGTTTAGGGTTTAGGGTTAGGGTTTAGGGTTTCGGGTTCATCGAAGTGGCAATAAGCACAATTGCACTCATACGATGAAGTCAAAAGTCATAGTGAACATCACACGAATAAGCTCTATGATCAGAGCGTACTAATCGTAACAGTACGAACGCAGAGGCAGAGGGTCCATATACGGTACTATCATGGAAGTAGGTACCAATATACAGGGTTCTCGGCATCTAGTCCCAGAAAACATGTCAAGTGGACCTCTCAGCATCGCACGCAGGAATCATGGAAGCTTCGCGCTCCGTACTTGCTAGGCCGGACAGGTGCCGAGCGCGTTGAAGAAGTCCTTGCCGTCTTGGTCTGCAGAACTTTCTGCTTTCATGAAGGAAGTGGTAATTACTTATCGCCATATTAGGAAGTACATAAAAGCCCCCAAGTATACTGTATTTAGCTACATGGACCCTTAGGGAGAATCTTCAGGGTTTAGGGTTTAGGGTTTAGGGGTTTTCGGTGGTCTAAGGTTGGGCACCCGCTAGGCCCTTTCTTCCTTACAAAAGGCACGCCTAAGCCCTAAACCCTAAACCCTAAACCCTAAACCCTAAACCCTAAATCCTAAACCCTAAACCCTAACCCTAAACCCTAAACCCTAAACCCTGAACCCGCAACTCCCCAAAAAACCCCAAATTGAGACTTGAAAGCCTCTGCCCTACCGCAACCCCAAACCCCCAAAAAGCCCAAGTAAGACTCGGCAGCCTCTGAGGATGGGACTTGGCGTGTTCAAGGCATCGGATCTGGGCTTGTGGGCGCTGGGTGCCCTTGTCTTTCAAGAAGGGGTTAGGGTTTAGGGTTTAGGGTCTAGGGTCTGGGGTTTGGGGTTTGGGGTTTAGGGTTTAGGGTGTAGGGTTTAGGGTTTAGGGTTTAGGGGGGGCCAGGGGATCCGCAGCCCCAGTTCGCCTTCGGCGCGAGTCAGGAAGGGACTTAGCTGTGTGCAGGCTTCTTAGCCTTGATCTTTAGTTTGGTGCTAGGGGTTGTGGGTCTAGGGTTTAGGGTTTAGGGTTTAGGGTTTCTTATGACGTTCAGCGTTGCGGGGCTGTAGGGTTTCAGTGTGTAGGCGTGAGGGCTTAGAGTTTACTAGGGAGTTGCTGGTGGCTGCTTGCTCAGCAAGCTCTCAGAACAAATGGAAACGGAGATGCCTGCAACTCTGGACACGGCGCCTGGGGAATATGAGACAGATGTTTGGGAACCCGTGGCAGAAGTGTAGCTACCTTGCTCTAACCTGACAAAGAACTACAGCCTAAGCCCTTAACCCTAAACCAGAAACCCTAAACTCGAAACCCTAAACCCTAAACCCTAAACCCTAAACCCTAAACCCTAAACCCTGAACCCTCAACCCTGAACCCTGAACCCTGAACCCTGAACCCTGAACCCTAAACCCTAAACCCTAAACCCTAAACCCTAAGCCCTAAACCCTAAACCCTAAACCCTAAACCCTAAACCCTAAACCCTATCCCAACACAGAACTACAGCCTGAGCCCTAGTTTCAGAAACGCCCGTGGGCGAAAGTTCTGAGGCACTGTCTGTTTAGGAGGTCGAAGATCTGGCTCTACATTGAGTTGTGCAACCTACATCCTGCAATAATTTTAGTAAGGTATATAAAGCCTAAAGCCTAAACCCTAAACCCTTAACCCTAAACCCTAAACCCTAAACCCTAAGCCCTAAGCCCTAAGCCCTCAGCCCTCAGCCCTCAGCCCTCAACCCTCAACTCTCAATCCTAAACCCTAAACCCTAAACTTAAGCTTCAGTTTAAGTTGTATCAGGGCTTCGGGAGACCAAAGGCCCGTCCAGCCCAGGCGTGACCTTGTTCTGGTTGCTGCTCGCTGTCTCCGACCCTTGTCCCAAATCAGGGTTTAGGGTTTAGGGTTTAGGGCTTAGGGCGTGACCCGAAACCCTAAACCCCAAACCCTAAGCCCTAAGTCCAAGCAAAGATCTGGAGCCTATAAAAAGCGTGCCCCTATCATATAAGATCGGGTCCCTTGGGTAAGGAGAGTATGTAAGTTTAGGTGTTTTTCAGGGAGAGGCTACGGCTGAGGCTTCTAATAAGAAATCTGCCTTTTTCAGCCAGGGTTTCGAAATTTCTTAAAACCCCAAATGGAAATAAGAAAGTTAGGTTTGAACCAGACCCTGAAATATATTTCTTATTCTCTAAACCCTAAACCCTACACCCTAAACCCTAAACCCTAAACCCTAAACCCTAAACCCTAAACCCTACACCCTAAACCCTAAACCCTAAACCCTAAACCCTAAACCCTAAACGCGGGGAAGAGGCCGGCACAAAAAGTCACCTTTTTTGGGCCTTTCCGGCCTGAAACACCTCAAAAAAGGTGACTTTTTGTGCCGGACCTCTTCCCCTAAGCCCTAAGCCCTAAGCCCTAAGCCCTGAGCCCTGAGCCCTGAGCCCTGAGCCCTGAGCCCTGAGCCCTGAGCCCTGAGCCCTGAGCCCTGAGCCCTGAGCCCTGAGCCCTTAAAGGCTTCCCTGCAAGAGCCCGGCATCCCCGCAAGAGCCCGGCACAAAAAGTCACCTTTTTTGGGCCTTTCCGGCCCCAAGCACCTCAAAAAAGGTGACTT